AAAGCTGCCTCAGTTCTAAAAGGTGATTCTAAATCAGCTTGACGAAGATTTACAACAATCTGATCTAGCCTGTGTGCAGCCGCTGCCATGCACGGGGGGGGGGGGGGGGGGGGGGGGGGGGGGGGGGGGTGAAATCGGACCTGCTGCTCCAAATGGTGTAAATAGAATAGCTCAATGGTCAAACACTGAACGGTGATTCGGCTGATATGATTCCGCACGAGACGGAAAAACTTATTATGAACCTATATACCTGATTAAATGATGAATGGGTCAGCATTTGTCTTAGCCTCAAAATCGAAACCTTTATCAAAAACTTTAGCTGCCAAGACCAGGCCATTTAGTTAGTTAATTAGCTGCAGGAACTCGACAGAAATAAAGTGTTAAACTTTACTTTTAGTGATTTTAGGAGTTTAATGTTACTTTTCTTTTCAAAGTTGGGGGTTTAAACTTAAATTAAATCACGATTTGCTCAAATAGCCTTGACAGAAATTGACAGAAATAACGACAATGATCCCCGATGGTGACAACGCCTACAACAGAAGCTAGCTATTTTTTGGTTTCGCATAAATTCACTGATACTTCAGGTGCATGAGTAACTATCCCATCTAATAATGATGATAATAATAATAATAATAATAATAATAATAATAATAATAATAATAAAGAGTAATAGCAAAAGTCTCGATGCGAGGAGGTTGCGATGAGTAAATATAGTTTATGAACTCCTGTTAAACAGGAATTTCGAAGCATGTTGCATCTTTGCTAGAGTAACATTAGCTGTACATGTAGGGTTTCATTAGGTGGTAGTATGATTCAGGGAGAAAAATGGTGCCTGTAGAGTATGTTAGGTAAAAAATCAGATCACTTCTTGCAGATGGTAGGATCCGCAGTAAATAAAATATTCAAAGCAATACAACTACATAAAGATATATCAAATTTCACCTTAAATGAATTGTTATACGATTTACAATCCCTAAAAAACAGTTACAACACATTAGTCTTTGGGACCCAAAGGCGTTTGATGGCGTAGCTTTTCCCCTCTTCATATCCGCCTCAGACGCCCTGGCTCCGTAATTCGTTTACACTTACAAAATATAAAGTACGCTTATGCTTTTCATGATTTTCAACATAATATTATTATAACTTTTTAATTTTGTGCATCAAATACAATACTTCTTGGCCTTTTATCTAGCGCACCAATCCACCTATATAAATGAAAATGCTCGATTTTGTCATATAAACCACTGTTAAAGACCAAACGTCTCGAGTCATTAAAAATCAAAGAAGAGTTAAGGAAATGGAGGATCGTGATTGGCCAAAAAATCTAATCTATATTCTAAGGCCCCGTCCACACTAAACCAGATAAATTTGAATCCGCAACTCTCACTACGAAACCGAAAAAAATGTTTCCGTCCACACATGAAAACGGATAAAATGTTTCGCGTCCACACTAGTCCGATCAGAGGCGGCAAAAACGCTTCATTGCACATCTGAGCATGTGCATCGAAGCTGAAATTGAGCCTGCGGTGAATTTTTAGCCTTCCCGCCATGTTCCCATGACAATCATGACGTCATCGTATCCGAAACATTACGGATACGAAATGTTCTCCGTCCACACTAATGCGGCTAGCCGGCGTTTTAAAATTGTTCCAATCTGGAGACCGTATTCGAAAAAATTCGCTTTCGGTGAAGAATTAATCTGGATTCGCCCGGACTAGTGTGGACGGTAGGCCTAACCGAATAAATAATTCGGATTCAAATTTATCCGGCATAGTGTGGACGGGGCCTAAGGCAAGCTCACTAGAATTCCAGACAGTGGAAAATGGAATAAAGTTTATATTTATAATAACCAAAATACAGAAAAATACAATGGAAAATAAGCATTTACTAACATAAGTCTCTTATCGAGCACATCCTTTTCGGTGAACACAATTTGTTTCCCTAATGCAATGAATGTCTGTCTGTCAGTCTGTCTATAGATGTAATTAGGGCTTTTGAATGTAAAAGTACAGTATAAACAGCTTTTATTCCCAACCCAATAACAGTTGAATGTCAAAGCTTACATTCGCAAAAAGAAACCATATTTTTAGTAACTATTATCAGGAAAGGAAGAAATTCTAAAGAATTAATTTATCAATTGTTGTCGTTGTAGAGCTAGAGAAACACGAAGTGACTAGGAGAAACAAACGGGACCAATATCTAATCCAAACTCCTCTTCTTTTCCTCCAATATCATACACAGCTACATCATGGACAGGTAGACGTTGCGGTTTGGTGGTGTCGATTGAAACGACCGTTTTTCGCCACTTGCCATCTTTGATCTGCAAAAAAAAAAAAAAATTAATTTAAATTTAAAGGCGTGATAAGGTCCTTTACTGGAATGTCAGGAATTTTTGAGTTTGACACTCCACACTTTTTGGATCCCACCTATATAACAACTGATGTAAATATGTTGCTAAGCATGCATGCAAACACGCAGTTCATTCATATCTGAGATTTGCCTGACTATTAGATTTTGAGGTATTTGAAGACAAAATCTGATATTTGTCTTATAGAAGTGGTAGGCACTGGTTAACCCCACCCCTCCCCTCTAATTTGGGCTCCGTAAGATGACAATTGTTTTAACCATGCCCCTTATAGTTTATACTTACATGGCAGTCATCTCGAATGATAGTTGGCTTAAATTTATTGGAACTGCTGGCGTGCAATTCGATACCATTGTCGCCCATGATTTTGATGGAATGAGTATAGTCACTATTCTCCTTGTTGAACCATGCAGCCGAGTTGCGGCAATGGTATGTAATGTTTTGACGAGCCCTGTCGCTTAGTAGACGTAGGAAGGTCATCTGACTAGGATCGAAAGTGTATTTCATCTGCAAGGAACAAAACATTAAGAGGTCAAGCACGAAGATGTCGCCTAAATTAGATGGGCGCCCTTGTAAATATATACATTTACAAAATCTTCTTTCATTCAATCTCGAATGACCAACTTATTGGATATCCAAGAAGCCTCTCTTTCTGTTCCACCCTCTAAGATGCCTGCCGATAAATTTAGACTGGCTTTCCCATCAAAATCGTATTGTCATTTTAGGTTTATCAGTTTTCTCTTCCCGCTCTTCTGCTGTGTTTTATTAAACCAGTATATGCGGGACCGAAACATCAGCTCTTTTTTCAAGTATTTTTCTTAAATATCATGTTTGAACAGTTTTCCTCTAAAACAATGCCAAACTATTCTCACTTTTCAAGATGATTTTTTTTCAGTGTTTACCAAGTCAAAAAAGAAAAAAAAAAATCAAATCCTTTCTAAGGAGGATTTTCTCTTCACTGACCACTTTTCTTCTAAGACTTACCGATCCCAAGCCTTGTAATTCTTTACCGAACCATTTATATTGATCAGGACCTGAGTACCAATTTTTTCGCGCACTTTCGAACGACTGAAACAGAAAAAGACAAAATATATATAACTCTAGCAGAGGTATTTAAAGCTGTCTAGTCCACTTTTTATGGTTCAACCTGACGCATCGGAAAATAAAAGTTCACACGGAATATTTTAATCTGCAACTTGTCTCGCAACGGCGTTGTGACACAAGTTCCATGGAGCATCGCAGCGTGTAACCTACAGCGCAATTTGACCAGCAATTGACCATTTCGGCGCTAGCTGTCACGTGCTATAAATCGTGTCGGATTGTGTCACCAAAAACGTCGGAAATATGTCCGAACTTTTTGGTCATCGTAACATAATCCAATAAAGTTTATATCATGATGATGGCTAGAGCCGAAGTGATGAATTGTTTGCGTCTCCGTTGCACCGTGTAAACATTCATGCAACTTGTGTCCAGTCGCAACACGGTTGCGAGACAAGTTGCAGAGAAAATTGCTCTGTGTAATCGCGCTTTAAAAATCCCTGTTTCTTTGTTGTCACAAGTGAAGTGGTGTATTATTGGCCTTTAGAGCTGGGGCGTGTTACGTCATAGCCGCCATTTTGGATGACGATAACAATGCATTTCTCATTGTCTTCCTCGATGGCGATTGTTTCATTGTTATTCATATATCAAGGGATCTTGAGTCACTAGGTTATACACAATGTATATTTACTAGATGCCACACCAGGGGTGTAGTGAGAGTGGGCAACTGCTCCCCCCTAATTAGATGCGCCCTTAAGGGTCTTTTTAAAGTACAAAACTTACCTTAGACGTATTCTGTGGATAGATACAAGTGGCGTTGTTTTCAAAGTCACAGAAGACGTAGATAGCGTCCTCTGGAATGCCCTCATTAGGATCTATCCAATAGTTGCCTTTAGAACAGAAAACAAGGAACACGATAGGTCATACAAACAACAACTGGATATTATTTAGAATTATTAGGAATCGATGGTGGCGTAGCCGAAAAGGTTTAGGACCCATGCAGTTGTTCAAAGCCCGATTAGTGCTAATCCTGGGTTAACTCTTAATAAGACCTATGAGTTAATCCTGGATTAGCGCTAATCCAGCTTTGAACCCGGCCCAGGGTTCGATCTGTGAGTTAGCCAYGCCCTGACTTAGATCAGCCCATAGGTTGCTTTAGGGTTTGATTAGCCATGCCCTGACCTAAATTAGCCCAGAGATTGTTTCATGGAATTGAAACAATTTGAAGGTTGAAACCGGTTAGAAAAGAAGTCTTACCGCTGCGTAGGTTGGGATGACACATGTGTAGGTCTTTACAGGTTTTAGCGGGAAACAGCTTGGTTCCTGTGGGACGCTTAAAACTTTGAATCTCGAAGCTCAGAGTGATAATATCATCAAATGCTTCTGTTGGCTGCAAACAAAAGAATATATCCAGCGTTCAAAAAAAAAATCTCACTGAGACAACATATACTCTGGACATGCTTGACAAACAAGTGATCAGTATTTTCACCCATTTCTATACCAGAATGCATCTTGTTACCACTGTTTTTATTGGTATGCGCTGATCGAGGTGGGAGAGGCTGAGGGGTTGCGTAACAATGATGACACACTCGTGCATTACTATGTAGGTTTGTACAGAAAACGTGCGCCGTTTCTCTGGTAGAAATGTGGCGGCATTCATTAACACTTAACCTGACTAAACACCTAAATGTTCGCCTACGTTAGAAATTACGTATTATACATCGTCATGTGAACTGAATCTGCAAGCAAAGCAAAAAGTAGCGAACAATCACATGTTAAGGTACTTACACTTTCTGGTTCATATTCTCCAGTTTTCTGCAAAAGTATAAAAAGCACAAGAAATAATTAACCCTCCTGAATTCTTTTTTAAAAAACACTTTATTGAAGAATATTGTGAGTTCAATATCCTTCTTGGCATATTACTGCATTTTGCATTGCTCATGGCAATCGGATGTTTAAAGGCGTTTAAACCCTTCAAATATAACCGTATTAACTCTATAAAGCAATAAATTCTTCTACTAATATTGCCACGCTAAGTCGAAAGGATTTCATTATGATACGTGTATAGAGAAGTTTCAGATTTAATTTCCCCACAATATAGCTGTCGTAAAACCACTATCATAGAGGTTTTGCACCATTACGTGCCCACGCACCCACTATACAGCATGGGCTTTCTGTGGTTAGATGGCAGAACAATAAAATCCCTTCATGCAAACGTCCTATTGAATTCTTTCTTATGTAAAACTATTGCATTGTTCCTGCTATCTAACATGGCTGCCGTCACGTGATGGTGCAAAACCTCTGATTGCATCAATACAATACTGTGAATATACTAATCTTACCGGTTTGCGACTTTTGTAGAGACGGTTTTCGGGCGTCTTTTGGACTCCAAGTTCGTACGACTGCATGGCCTCAGATGTCCAAGCCTGCAAAGAAGTACCATTACAAGAAAGATCGATTGTAAGTATTATAAGAAATAATGTAACTAATATTCATTTAAAAAAATAGTAATAAATAAAACGCGCGTGCATGTCTCTTTACTGTGATATAAACACGCCCGGAGCTGTAGAGGACGTGTGAAGCAAGCATAGGAACACGAGGCATAGCCAAGTGTTGCTCTTGCTTTTCGAGTGCTCTACCACTCCCAGAGTGTTTGTCCTCTGATATAAACACGGTAGCCAGCCAATCAGCTAGCGCGATAAAATCTCAAATATTTCATAATTTGAAGTAACAAATTAAATACAGAGCACAAAAAAGCTGGTTCAAAAAGGGTTCCTTTCATGCTTCTTGGGTAGAAAACCTGTAACCTAATGTCAAAGAAAGGGGTACGGAACACTGGAACCCTCCACTGGATACGCTTCTGAATTACTATTACCATTACGTTCTAAAAAGAATATCGCCAAGGGAATGTTTTGTCGCGAGGCATTCAGTGGCCACTTCAAAGTTAGGAAAGTGAGGACGTTTTCATAATTATGATTTCTTATTTACATTTCTAATACTAAAATACTTACCGATGAAAGCGTTGCCTGTGAAGCACAAACAAAAAAGAATTTGTAAAAAAAAATAAAATAAAAAAAATAATAAAAAAAAAAAAAAACAACGTTCGTAACAAGAAGTGTGGAAAATAATCTTGGTTGGGGGAAGCAGACTGAACCGCATTTAATAGAAAACCAATTGGTCTAATTACTATAGAATTAGAAATTGTCCATCCTCATCGCATTGCCCGCGCTATCCGCGATGAACATTATATGATAAGCCCCAAACCAATCCGGTATAAAATCTATCCGGCTCAAATCATATGGTTTTCATACAATCATGACAATGAGGTAACACGATACTTACAGGTGGTCCTGGGGGGCCAGGGAGACCTGGGGATCCCTAAACATAAATAAAACCACGTGTTAATTAGAAATTATACTTTCCATAGTAAGAGGGAAATAACGACATTCGTTTGCGCAAATAAGTTACTTCTGTAGCCTATACTTTGTATAGAGACCAGGTAATTGCCGACCTTCCACCCAACCTATATATTTGAATTTTCTTAGGTGTGCATAACCCTATATGTGAATTCAAGCCGCTTGTCAGCCCCTTATTCCTGGTGCGCAGACGTAGATAAAATATTAAAGCAATTAAGTCATTAATTATATCCATTTTGAAAACACTGATGATTTCTGCAATCTTATTGGCTCTCCGCAATGCGATTTAATCACGAATCGCCCCAGCCAATGAAATTGCAAAAAATAGCAACTGAACCATCAGATCACAGAAAAAAGAAGTATATAAAATTAATTAATTAATTAATTAAAAAAATACAAGAAAAAAATGATAAAAAAGATAATCTTTTAAATAAAACACGGTTTTTTGGCTAAATTTTAGTAAAAAAATTACTTTTTAATTTATTATTATTGCAGGGGATCAAAATGGCTATATATAAGTGTTAATTGAACTTCATATGCCCCAGAAGTAGATACAGTAATAAAGTAATTAAATCATTGACAGTATTCGTTTTGGAATGATTTCTAAGTATAGGTTAATGACTTACCGGGTATCCATCGGTTCCCTTTAAATGAGGAAGAAAGGGGGAGAAACGATGATTAGAAATAGGCAAAAAAATAAATAAATAAATAAATAAATAATAATAGTAATAAAATTAAAAATAAAATCAATAAATATAATATATTTAAAATTAGCATTATATTATTGATTATACTATGGCATTAACAAAGTTCATTCTGTGTCGTGGTTGTGGTGGTTGTTTTCATTTGTGTTGTGTTCTGTGTTATGCCATATACTACCTTAATGGCAGTTATTACATTAACAGCGGTCAGAATCAGATTCGAATCGTATTAATACCGTAACTTCAATCACATCAAATGAGTGCCCTTGTTTTACGAGTAACTAGCAAACTATGTCCCTAATTCCATGATCAAATTGAAAAAAAAACTACCTTTTGTTTGGGTGGACATTCATGCATAGCTGGGATCGGTCTATTGGCAGTTGTTTTGAATTATTTCATCTTACATATCGTTCCAACGCACTATAAACTATAAAGTCACGACACACGTGGTTCCGTATTGCGCACAATTTATCAGGTAATGATGCTGCGTGTATTTTCATCATTTTCTACTTCAGCAAAATTGCGTGAGAAAAAAAAGCGTCGTGTGACATAAATTGCAACATCGATTGCCTGCAACATTGCGTGCAATAGGGAAACACGTGTGTCCGTAGCTTATAATATGAGTTCGAAAAAAGGTTTACTTACTTGGTATCCACGGTCACCCTATTAGAAGAACGGAGAACAAATAAACAATATTTAAAATCAAAATCAAAGAACGTATTTATTATTAATACTAATTAATCTTAATTATACGAATCTTCATTTTATTACGTTAAAAGAATTTTAAATTTCATTTTAGATTTTGTTTGCTTACCTTTTGTCCTGGATTACCAGAACCGCCAGTTGGACCCTAAGAAAAGATAAAACGAATAAAATACGTGCACTATTAATTTGACACACAAACTAATAATAATCAAAGAATCGAAAGTTTACTTGCCTCTGGGCCCACTCTTCCTGGTGGTCCAAAAGGTCCAGGGTCACCAACGGAACCCTGAAAACGCAAGGCAAGGTTTGAAAATATTTGAGAAATGTACAATACCATTTCCCAGCTCCCATTTCGATCAAATCCGGCTCAAATCTCAATCCCCTTCCCATTTTTTGGATGTTTTTTCTTTGTGAATCCCACTCCCACCAGTTCATAAAATCCAATTTTCCCAGCCCTAAAAAGACAAATCGCAGCTCCTATTTACCCCTTCAGGACTCTCTGTAATATCCTCTATACCTGAGCTTAGCCTTCAGACATTTAATGGCTTGAGACGTCAATCACGGAGAATATTTATTCGTCCCACATGCATTTTCAAGTTACTTAATGAGCTTCGCATATAAATGTCTAAAACTTTGAAAATTCGCTCAATTTATGAAAAAATGTTATAAGCTTATGGTTGAGAAATTTGGAAGCCACACGCACTCTTTCAAGCCTAAACCACAGATTGTTTCGACAAAGAAAATATTTACCCTTCCTCCTGGCAGACCATTAAGTCCAACTTTTCCAATTGAACCAAACATTCCCTGAAAAAAAGTTATATTGACTAACATAAGCTTACTGGTTAAGACAAAAGGTATGAAAGATGTCATGCATTATTTCAGTCAGGTTCATCAGTCTTGATGGCATTTTTCGAGTAAATTTCACGTGAGGTCATTTACCCAATTTTAAAAATACTGTAATTTAAATTCAATAACAGCATTAAATATCTCAATACCAGCAAAAATTGTCATACTTAAAAGGGCTGCACTGAAGAATAGACCATTACTGCGTAATGCTTTTCCATTTCAGACCACGGGTCATTTGGTCTAACAAGGTCTATTGTTATGATATAGGATGCACGCTATCTTAAAATTTACGATATTAAGATTTTTAACAGCTGGAATCGAGTACTTTACCTTTGGTCCACCGGCACCAGCAGGTCCTCGTTGACCTTCCACACCGCGTTCTCCCTAAACGAACGTAATAACATAAATAGCATTAGAAAATCTATAAATATGTCGTTCACTTACTGAATTTTTAAAAGTATCTACATCGTAAGGAGTTTCACAGAGGTGAATAATGCATTGAAGGATATTAATATCCTGAGAAGGAGACATCAAGATGTCCCATGATGCATTGCAATGGGCGTTTGTGAACAAGGTTTGTTTCCAAGAGTCGTGAATAAGTTAATCGTAACTAACAAGAGAATCGTTCACTCTTATCGAATCAATTCTGATTTGCGGTAGTTTGCTAGTGTTCATAGCCACCATAGATTCAAATGATGGGGCCACCATCATATGTCAAACATGGTGGCCAAATCAATTTTGCTATTTCATCCTCTTGTCAATGAGATGATTGCAGTTTATCTATCTGTTAAAGTATATCGATTAGTCAAAATTGCTGATCCAAACTGTAAATCTCACCTTCTGTCCGACGCTTCCTGTACTACCTTTACTACCGCCTTCACCTTGGACTCCCTGTGTAGAGAATAATAGAACATTGCATTTCCAAATTCTTTGGAGTGACCTTAATGGCTTTTTTTCTTTTACGACATACAAAGGTCATACATCTTGTGGCCTCAAATGGCTCTTAGTCTGCCCTTGTGATGATATATACTTCTCTTTCGTTTTCGTTGCAGATGTGTTTTCTTCTCCATTATATAGCATCCATATATCCAGATAGCTATAATAACAATCTACTTACATTAGCACCAGCTTCTCCTATTGCGCCCTTTGGTCCTTGAGCACCAGTTATACCCTAAAACACACAAAAACATGTGTCCTTATAATAGGTTGTATAATGCTGTAGGACAAAAACGACTGGAAGAACTAAAGATTTTACCGTTGAGCCGTCCACACCCGTCGCTCCAGCCTCTCCAGTTTTACCAGCCGCTCCCTTTCCTCCTTGTTCACCTTGTCGTCCTTGCCTTCCAGTGTCACCGGCTATACCCTGGAATAAATTATAACTTAAGGAGACTGCCTACTCAGTGAACATGCCCATAGTGTGCGCGCGCACAAAAGCTACTCAAAACCCCTGAATAACCTTCAAAATTTTATTGAGGAACTTAACTATACACGTTTTGAACTTCAACAGGGCAAAATCCTAAAACATTTAAGGAGACTATATATTTCTTTGAATTTCCTAAAACAACAGGTGAAAAGCAACCTTTTGTCAAAGTTTGGAAAAAAAAGAAATTCAATTAAGTTATYGTTGTATTTGTGGTTGCCATCGTTTAAGGACGACTTTCGATTCATTAAACGAATAAAATGCTGACTTTTGAGCTTATTTTCAAAACGTTCTCCAATTATTTTAATCTGTTAAAGAAAGTAGTGAGTCCCCCTTTACAGTGCAAGACTATAACCGGGCCACTTAAACTATTTATACAAAACAAAAAACAAAAAACAAAAAAAACAAAACAATAAAAATGCTGAATCAAAACAATGCATTTCAACTTTGGATAGTCGTGCCAATCAGGAACCTAGCCTGTAACAGACTTAAAACTTGACGGGGCTCACGTGCTCAAAGCTAATCCAGGTCTTATTTTTACCAAAGTCTTTATGCATCGATTGCATAGGTAGGATTGACTGATTGGGATTACTACAGCAGATTTAAATTCAAATTTTTTAGTGATACTAACCTTCCTACCAGGTCTTCCTGATGCACCAGCGGCTCCCGAAGTTCCAGTTGGCCCCTGAAAGGATTTTTTTGTCATATTTATCAAAAATACGAGTACACAATCAATATCTAAGCACATCAACTACTAATAACATCTAAATATAGTACAAGTAAATGAATTACGGCCTTAATACTTATTCTCTATCCATTTCTGCTGCTGATACGACATTATCTATCCTTCTATGAAATCTAAATAGTTTTAAACAAACTAATTTCATTCATTTTATTGGACCGTTAAAAGCGTGTAATTGAAGTCACAAACAGCTCGAACTAAGATGTTTCATTCATGCTATGTAACATAAGCTTTTACCATAGTTTAATAGAGGGTTAACAGCTCCCCTCTATCATACTTACATCGGCACCAGCGATTCCTGGGGCGCCTGGTTTACCAATTGCACCGATTGAGCCCTGTTGAATGAAAAGATATAAAAAGGCTTTATATTGTACGCAAAGAATGATATTGCACGCAAAGAATGATATTGCACGCAAAGAATGATATTGCATAGTAAGGTAGTTTATTTTTTTCCGGTCCGGTATCCTAAAAAATCGTGCGTTCAGAGCGGCTGTTTGAGCGGGCGGTATTTTGTTAGTATCTGCCCGCGCTCACGGTCCGGTATCCTTTGCCGCTAAACAACAAAACAAAACTCGTTCGTGATATCAGATGGAAACTCGTGAATAAAAACGATATCAAATTCTTAACATGTGATAATCTCTAATATTCACCTGCAGGTGAATATGAAAGCGCACACGCGCACGCTCGTGTGAAATTGAAAAAAAAAAAAACTCTTAAAAATATTAAAAGAGACTCGCGTCTCGGTAAATATTCCCCGATATTCACATCGCCTTCGGCAAATAATTGTTAAATATACTCCATACCGCTGGTCCAGGAAGTCCAGGTTTGCCGTTAGCAGCAGCCTCACCAGATTCACCCTAATTCATAGAAACATGAATACCATTAATATAATGATAACAATTACGTTCTTCGATATCAGTTATATCTGTCATCTTTACTATATGATACCATTATAGGGCAATACTTCATTGTATTATCATTCAGCAATTATGACCATCATACTATCACTGCTCATCATATCGTCGTCAATATCTTCGTCGCATCAGTTATGACCACAACCCAAAATCGGCTTATCATGTAATATTATCATTTTGTCAGTCAGTTATGGGAAGCACAGATGGCTTAGCGGTGAAAGCGCTCGCCTCTTTTCAATGCGACCAGGGTTCGTCAAGACCCCCAGGGTTCGGTGTCGCATGTGAGTAGCGTTGTTTGTTTGTTTTTCTTCCCTACACAAAAATCAACTCCTAAATTCCAATTCGATAATGGAACGAGAGCCACAGACTTGTTAGCCATAGGCTATTTGCATATGTAATTACAAAGGTAGCACCTTCTCCTCTGTTATTTCAAGACCCTGAGTGTTGGTCCAGTTAAAGGTTAACCGAATGGCGGTTATCATCACCATTTATCACATCATCATCATCATCATCATCATCATCATCATCATCATCATCATCATCATCATCGCCATTCATTACATCCCCATCACCTTCATATCATTCGCACAATGTAATCATCAATATACAATATTGCCAATTATCACCACCATCATCATAATCATCAAAGAAACAAGTATATACCTTGAAACCACGAGGACCTTCCAAACCAGGTTGTCCAGGAAGACCAACAGCACCCTTGTAAAATTAAATGAACTTAGTTTCAATGTTTTTTACTACCTTATGTAACTGCTAAATAAATTGCAAATTTTGCAATATATCTTGCACGATAGAATTGAACATATGCCAAGTGAATAAACATGACTTTAATTTTGACAAAGAAGCGATTACGTACAGCCCCTTTTTCCCAAACTACAACCAAACCAACCGCAACCAAATTTCATGGGTCACAAATATGAGAGAATTACGATCAGTATGTCATACTTCAAAAAATATTGTTATATTGCAGTGAATTTTGAGTTTTCCCGCCCTCCAAATTTCTTCTTTACATATTATGGAAAATACGTTAGCATCTTCTTCCCGCAAACGGCAGACGTGACCACGTTTTCATCGTGTCCCTTTCACCGTTTTGCAAATTTTTTCACTGAAGACAAATATCTCAACTTTACCCTTGGTCCGCCAGAGCCAGAGTCACCAGGCAAACCAATTGATCCAGAAGGTCCCTGTAATCAGTAAAGAGGAAATTTTCAATTTTGCTTTCATTGGAAAAAGCCCAATACTTATCATGCAGCTGTATTCAGCGTGTCTCCTACCTTAGCACCAACGCCTCCATTAGATCCAAGTGGCCCAACTTTGCCAGCAACACCCTGAAATCGAAATACAATGAACGTCGACATTACATTTTACCAATAACTAAATGTTTCAAAGATAGCCAACAATAGCACGAGCCACTTTTCCTATTAACTAGCCCTTGGCTCATTTCATTCGTTCACTTGCTCTTTTCTTCACTTGCGCATTCCTCTTAGAAGCAGCTAACCAACTGCCTCAATTTATACATGATCCAAATTGTGTTTAAGCCCACTGAAGCAATTTACAGCGCAAAGTTAGGACTGAAATAATATCTTACTCTTGCTCCATCCTCTCCGGACTCGCCCTGTGCACCAGAATCTCCTGGAGGTCCCTGTCAATGTGAATGAAAAATTAGTGTAAATAGGATGGGAAACTCAACTGGTTTTATGACCCAATATTGCCATGATACCCAAAAGATGACATTGGAATCTAGAATTGGTCTTATGAGATGGAAGGAAGCCAAATGACATTTCTACGTAAATACTGGAAAGCCTGGAAAGTGAACCTAATGCCTACCGATCTACGATAAGCTACCTATTAAACCACCCAAACACCCATCAGACCACCTTATCTACCACCTACTACCCATCGCACTCGACCTTGCCTGTAGTCACAAAACAAAAAGTATACCTTAGATCCAGGCTGACCTGGTGGGCCAGGTATGCCAGCATTTCCACCAGGACCCTTTAAAAACAAACATGTAGATGAGTTTAGCAGACACAAAACATCAAGTTGTAATCATTTGACGATATCTAGGTAATTACCGTTGGGCCAGGTGGGCCGGGTTGACCGCGTCCTCCAGGACCTCCTTGTTCTCCCTAGTTATACAAATTGTTTCAATAAGTTATTGTTGTTGTTGTCTTCTTGGTGCTAGAGCAAACATGATAATTAAAGATAATCGTAAAACAAGAGCTTACAGATGATCCCTGGCTTCCAATACTTCCTTTTGGACCAGCAGCACCAACATCACCCTGATAAACACAAAATGCAAGACTGAGTAATAGATATAAAAACCTGAAACCTTTCCAAGTGTATACATGAAAAAGTTACTAATTTACTCCTGAGATCGATATATTAATTTGTGTTACTAAATATTCGTGTCATTGTTAAACATGGCAATGTATTTGTATACATTTGGCTAAGAAACTTACRATCAAACCAGTGGCTCCTAAAGAACCCATTGCTCCACGTTCTCCTCTGACACCCTAATATGGTAATAAGGAGATATTTGCAATTAGAATGAATCAACGCTTTTAACAAAACAATGTTGTCTTTACCTTTCCACCTTGTGGGCCTACGAGACCAATTGCGCCAGCAGGGCCTGCAGAACCCTGTGTACATTATAAATAATAGCAATAATTATTTAAGATATTTCAATTTATTGGACAGTTAATTATGAATCAAAAATACTAACTACAAAATAATAGAGTGTGTGCAACCACGTGACTCAAAATCAAAATGAATAACAATGAAACAGTCGCCATCTTGGTTGATCTAACAAGAGAAGCTAATGAGGAACGCCTTGTTATCGTCAACTAAGATGGCTGCAATGACGTAGAATGCATCTGCTCTTTAGGAATCAAAGTGAAAGGCTTACCGGAAGTCCCTGCAGACCAGGTTTTCCCATGACACCTGTATCACCACGCATTCCCTAAAGAAATAAGGAACGATTAAATTAACTCTAGTGTTGCTCACAATACCATTTTTACACGTTATATCTTACTACACATCAAAGTCTCGTTGGTAGGCCTTTTCTGAGTTTAACGAACATGATGAATTATGGTACGAATATCCACATAAGAGTATGACAAAACAGAGATGTTTGTACCGAATCGTAGGAACACTACAATGTACCAGAAGAGATTTTTGAGGGGTAAAACGAGCATTGGCCTGCTTGAGAAGTTGCACGATTTTGGTGCCATCATTGAGCTAGCCTCTTTTTCTTTCTTTTCCCCCTCAGGTCTTACCGTGTCTCCGGTTGTTCCAGGTCCACCTGCTGCTCCATCATCACCACGTTCACCCTTGATCAGGGAAATGACAAAGAATATCAACGAAATATAGGAGAAGATGTCCACAGCCTAATCAAAAGTAAGATTGTATTTAAAAATAAAATTGAATTTTAGTTACCGCTAGGCCCTTGGGGCCAATAGGTCCTCGCCCACCGTCACCACCATCTGCGCCCTACAAATAAAATTGTTGAATCAATATAAAATAAATCGACATAACATAGCCTGAACTTAATATAGAAGATATTTGCGATAAATTGATAGGGTGTGCGTTGTCTAGGATGGTATGATGTCTGTTTTTCGTGAACTGAATCGTTTTAAGAGTAACTGAGATTTTTGAATAGCTATTATAAGCGGCCTGTCTTTTCATATTCAAATAGGAATTTTGCAACAATGAACAGTCACGTGCAGATATATGACTTTGATAACGAATCAATTCAGCTCAAGGTTCCTTGGGGAAGTCTTAGCTGGATGGCAAACAAATTTTAAACTGCTTCGTATCTTGAAATCGAAAGTATCTTATAAGGCTGGAAAAAGTATTTTTGAAAAGGTTTTGGTTACGACATAAGTAATCCAGCAAAAAAATCTTTAAATAAAGGAAGTCCAAATTTTTTTGCCATCCAGTAACAATCACGTGTCAATCTATTGCAGAAGGCCTATTGAATTCATGTCTATGTATCATGTACCTGTTTGCCGTTTTCGCCATCCTCTCCACGTGGTCCTTCACCTCCTTGATCACCCTATTAACAAGCAAAAACAGCAGCAAAATAATTAATCGGTCCATTTCCTGAATCGTGTTACTTATTTTCGTAATAAATAAAAAATGATTATACCTGTTCTCCTTTGGCTCCATTTTTGCCTGGTTGTCCAGGTAAGCCAGGGGAACCCTAAAAAAGAACCATTTTTGAGTCACGAGAAAACCAGACTTATCAGAATACGTGTCCAATGTTAGTAGTGATACCCACCGATGTGCCTGGAGGTCCATCGCTACCGATTGTGCCAGGGGCTCCAGGGACGCCCTTGAAATGAAATGAAGAAAATCAGAATCACCAAAAGATTTTTGTGAATTTGAAGCATGTTTCTTACCCTTATTCCTTGCCGACCTTCGATACCACGCTCGCCATTACGTCCAGGAACACCCTAGAGAATCCACGAAATCATAAAATGCGTTTCCATTGAATTCAATGAAAGGCACTAAGTAATTATCTGCACTAGCGTACGGAGCGGTGGGGGCACGTGTCCCCCAAAAATTTGCTTTCGACACCAACAATTAATTGAATCATGCGGGATTCCTCTGGATTTGGCGGTAAAATGGTACATTGCCCCCCTCCCCCTTCTTCTATAATCGATACTTCACTACGCCCCTAAGATTATTTGGGTTAAAATGGTGGTTAGCTGCCACATTAACATAAGTAAATTCTGAAATATGTTAAACAAATACGGGAAGAACACTTTCTTTATTTTCGAGCAAAAACAGATGTTGTTTATGGAGTCGAATAACTATGTAGCTAGAATGTGATCTCCTCACTTGATAATTTTCAAGGAAAATTTTTTTAAAAATGTATGTGTACTTACCATGTCACCACCCTCTCCCCTGTCACCAGTCTTGCCATCTAAGCCCTATAAGACACAAATAAAAACATGGCATCACGTGTCCGGATACCAACAAAAGAAAACAGTCATAGAGTTAAGTGTGACGTAATTCGAACGAAAAAGGACTTCCGGGTCCAAATTAACAATTACTTCCGCAGACATTTTTCTGATTTTGTTTCTTCATAGCAGGATTTTCTGTTCATATATCTAATTGTTGAAGGTAGAAAATAAATCCTGGGAATAAGTTGTGGCAAGATTCTAGCGATCTTTTGTGTGATTAAACCCGGAAATACGTCACAACTTAAAAGCCCTAAAGACGTCACAAGTACTGGGAATGACCACATATATGCAGTATTTCCTCGTAACTGAATTCCCAAAGCATGCTTGTTTATATTTGAAGAGCACGAACTGACTTACTCTACGTCCAGGTTGGCCGTTTGCACCGCTGTTACCCTTGGCTCCCTACCGAAATAAGAAAATGTCAATAGGATTATGATTTTATGAGTCTGGACGGTAATTTGTTTTTAATATCGAATAGTCTCGGATGGCCCCCAGCTGGACACTGAAATAAAGGTAGTTGGGCATCTGGCCTATCGTGGACCGGTTCTTAGATCAGTATTTTCACTTTATAGGGTTTCATTCATTAGGGCACTGGCGGATCGGGGTTCGTGATAGGAAGTGGGGAACCTCAGTGGGATAGGTGGGCATTCGGCCGGTCAATGTTGTCAATAAATAAGATTATTTTCATTAGGACACTGGCATATCGAGGTTCGGGGTGGGGGATGGGGAAGCTCGGTGGTGAGGAGAAAGTATCCGTTTGGGAGAGTATGAAGTTTTAGAACATTATAGGCGAGGCAACCTCGAGAGGGAGAGTCAGGCGTCCTATATAGATGGAGGTGGGTTCAGCAGTAATTTAAATGTGATTTTGTCAACAAATTTCCGATTAAAAGCCTCCCTAAGTATGAATTTTCAAATGCAGTACTTACATCTTTGCCCGATAAACCTGAAGGTCCAGGCTTTCCGTTCTTTCCAACTGGACCCTGCAAAACAAAGCTTTGTAAGAATATTACAATAAACTGAAATAAGCTAGTGACAAAGACGGTCAGCTCAACAAGGCAAAGAAAGTAATAACAAAAAGCAAGTCCAATTCCAATAACAACCTTATCATCAACAGACACTGCAGCTTTTATATTTTAGCATTCATAATCATAAAACAGTTATGGTTAAATTAAAAGTCGGTAATGTTTACCGGATCTCCTGGATCTCCTCCTGGACCGGTTTCTCCCAACGCACCAGCAAGTCCCTAACGTAATAAAAAGAGACAAAATCCGAATCAAATATGATCAACGAATCACAGAATACAACGGAATGAATACAAGAATTGTCTGTCTCATGTGACGGATGTCGTTAATAGACTACATCGACGATACGGCGACCATCTTCCAAGTGGGCAAAACGAAACAAAGATAACGGAAAATATAGACTTTCATAGTGTCCTTGTCTTTTTTATGGGGCAAGGTGATCGATATAATAGGTTATCTTTTGTAGCATTCTCTTGTGGTGAGCTGTTAATATCAATTAACGTCATTCCTGTAACACTATTGTTTGCCCCCTGGACGCCCCACAATGCCTTGCAATCCAAGATGGCCGCTGTATCATCCAAGTAGTCCATTTGAGGGATAGCTATGGCCTCTGGGCTTGACTTACCGGCCCTCCAGGTCCACCAGGTAATCCTCTTTCTCCAATTATTCCTTGTTGACCCTAGAATTAAACAAATGTAAGCAATATCAAAAAAATCATCAAATAGTAGGGAAAAATGGGAAATACGGATTGGGCATTTTTTGGTGTGTGTGAAATTATTGTAATCCTATATTGATAGTGGTTCTGAATCAAAAGTAGAGCGGTTATTGGCTTATCTGTGGTACCGTTTTCTCTTTGTTCCCTCTTATTTGAATTAGGCGCCTTTTCCGCCTTCGTGACAGATTATCAAATGGATGAGATTTTTGCTCTTAATTGGTTTAAATAATGCCATCAATCCTGGTACCAATAAGAGCATGCCGTAAACTCAGTATCTTTTTTTTATATTTATTTCAAGTTTCAAGTATTCATTACTGCGTAAGAGTTGAATACCTTGATGCCAGCTGGTCCACTTCTTCCAATCACACCGTTTTTACCAGCTTGGCCCTGTTACGTAGACGAACAACAATGAAAAAAACGATTAAAAAGAAACATCTTTATTCTCTTGCCTTCCAGAAATTATTAAAGTTAAAAATATCAAAACTTACTCTAGCGCCTTTTTTCCCAGTAAGGCCGGTTTGTCCAGAGGGTCCACGTTCTCCCTAGAAGAGGGGAAAAAAATTTCATGATATATTTCTTGCGTTGCACAATAATACCACCACTAACACTAGAGAAATACGTTTGCGCATGCGTGCATTTCTAAGAATTTATAGAAGAGTTTGAGTGAGTAAATGTTTATTCTCTCCGAGTATACTAAAGATTCCGCGTGTATTGCCCATGTCTTACCATGACTACCAGAAACAAAAAAACAAAAGCACTGATGAAGAAAGTACGGGAATAATATTTATAACGATAACAGCAACAAGAACAACAACAACAACAAGAACAAGAACAACAATAACAATTATAACCCAAATAATGATAATAACAACGCAAATTAACAACAGCAACGATCTCAACAACAACCCTTATAGTGATATGAAATCTAATTTTTTTCGTATATTACCGGTGATCCGTTCTCGCCTTCTCTGCCATCGTCTCCGGGTTTTCCCTAATCAGAACAAAATAACAACAAAATAAGTGACTAATAAAACTGATAATTCAATGACAGTCCAATAGTTGATATCTTACGGGTAAGCCTGGCCCTCCATCACGTCCGGCAACACCAACTCGTCCACGTGCACCTTGTTCTCCGGTCTGGCCAACACCACCAGGCTCACCGGTTTCGCCCTAAGTTGGTGGAACATAAGAACATTATTGAGATAATTCAAGCATCGTCATAGGTCAAGTCACCGCTCGAGCAGTGATTATCGTCTCAGAATCAATGGGCGCTCGACCAATCACAGAGCGAGAAACGCTGTATTCAAGTCTAAAATTAGATTGATACAAATTATTCCTAATCTAGGTGTTGAGGCTACTCAACAATATTTTTCTTTTCTTTGTTTATGTGTGTGTGTGTGTATGTGTTAGTAGCATTCTTTAGATTCATTTATCCGTTTTCCTTTCCCCTTTGGGAGCATTAACATGCACAAATTAGATTTGTAAGTTCTTGGCACAGAGTGACTTTGCCTGGGGTGGTGAGTGTGTGAGCAACTTTATATTCGATAGAATCTAGCTAGATTACTTTTCTCTTTTTGGACGACCTTCACCTGTTTGTAAGCTTATCGTATTTAGTAATATTAGCTTTCATTGACACTATTGTAATTTAAGGAATTCACTACAGAATAAACTGAATATTTGAACTGGTCGTACGCTGAATCAGGTCGGGTCCTTACACTAGGTATCTATAGGTTTACATATTTTGAAAACTAAAAAATTGTCGTCTTACATTCTTGAGATAATGATAACGCTATAAAAGTGAAATAAAATTTAAAACGTTCTTCAAATATCGCATACTAGTTTGAAATAAGAAAAGTCCAAATTTATTGAACTCCTCAGGACAAAATATCTTAGATTTGAAACCTAATATCGATTAGATTGTAAAAATAGTTTAGTCAAATCCAACGAGTGATCTATCATCAATGGTGTGTTCTGATTGGATGAGCTACTATTGGGCTATAAGTTAAGCCTACTAGTATCGAAAAGTATCGGCTTTGAAAACCAAAACATTAAATTCGACTTTAATTTAAAACTTGTTTACATCTATATCTTTGACCACTATTTGGATATGACAACAATAAGTCCTCTCGCGCCCACATGACCTATGAGTCAATAGTTCATTTGGGCTCGATGACCAATTGGTAATTAGTATGTTAGTGAGTACATTTAAAGCGGAGAGGGTAAAGACCACTATATTTCTTCTTAACTTTTTCTATCAAAGTATAACAATAAGTTTCTATTATACTTACAGGGTCTCCCTTGTTGCCTTCTGCTCCACGCTTTCCATCGCCTCCAACTCCTCCCTGAAAAAGTAAGTAGCGATAAGTATGTGTGTATAAATTTTTATCGCATAAGAAGAATAAAGATATTTTATCAGTTTGATGATGGTATACCTTTGCTCCTTTAGCGCCGGTTGGGCCCATAAAACCTTGTGCTCCTGTCATACCCTATAATGAAGACTGATAGTTAGGACTGGTTCCGCCCCTAATTGAAGAAGTCAGTTAAAGTTTACGCATCCTTTCATTCTTAATTTCTTCCTTTCTTCGGGGTTTTTCTCCGGGTTTTCAGTCCGGTTTTCCTCCCTTCAACTTTTAAAGTCTAATTCATTCTGAGGAGAAATCTTCATATTTCGTTTGTACTATAAAGTGAAAATTTTGCTTTTTGTCTTTCTTTCTTTCTTTCTTTCTTTCTTTCTTTCTTTCTTTCTTTCTTTCTTTCCTTCTTCCTTCCCTCCTTCCTTCTTACTCGTTTTCCTGTTGATCCTGGTGCACCAGCTTGTCCACTGTCACCGGGCGCTCCCTATAAATCAAAAACAGATTATCACAGAAGATCGAGATTACATCTTACTAAGGGGCTTTACTTATTCATGGTAGGTGTTAGGATTAGAAGGGCGTGATCTYGATTTTTTCAGGCCACCCATTTGCAAACCTGAAATGAACGGTATATAACTTATAGAGAGAACTTTACGAAAGGATCCACTGAATGGGCTTTGAATACGAGGTCCATATTTCATTAAACCATGCTTTACTTACTCGTTTTCCAACTGGCCCTGGTTGTCCACGCGCTCCTTTGACTCCAGGTTTTCCCTACGACAATAGGCATACATTTAACCTTTGCATACTACAAGTGAAAACAATATGTCTATTTGACACTCATGAGGCCATTCATCTTACCGGGCCACCTTTATTGCCAGTTTCTCCTGCGGCACCATTTTTGCCGATATCACCCTAACAGTTGACCAAAAAATTGCAAATGTTAAAAATACTTGAATAAGAAAGCTTGAATACAATTATACATGGATACCAACACTTTGACTTATGCTGTATACTACAAACTTACCCTACTACCACGTTCTCCACGGTTGCCGGGGTCACCTGCCATGCCCTGAATTCGACAAATGATTGATTAAGAGATGTAATTCGACTGCTAAGCCATCAATTGAGGCCGATAATCCTAGATTACAATTGACGGTGGCTTAGGGGTATTTTCAGCTCCTATAAACACCACTAGGGTATTCCCGATTATTTTGCGAGATGGTTATTGTCACGGCACTGCCCAAGTATCGGATTCGTCAGGAAGATTACAGTTTGAATTTTTGAACAAAAATATTAAAAAATCCAGTTAACGAACAATAAAAATGCGAGATTTTGTGGAACGAGTTCATGAACCAAACTAGGCAGTCACCAGTATCGTTGGAGGAAAAGAAAATAATAGGAAAGGAGAAGAGAATGGGCTTTATCCCTTTTCCTTTCTTCTCCCATGCCCAACGTAGTGGGGCCAAATCTAAGCCTAATTTCCTCTGACTCGTGTTATCTTCATCATCTGCATCACAAGAATTGAAATATCACTTACTCTGGTTCCCACTTCTCCTGTTGGTCCTTGTTCTCCTGCGGCACCTAAATCTCCCTAGAATAAATTTTATACAATGTTTGATGAGAAAATACCAAAGTAGGAGAGCAAGAAAGTCTGGGAAGTTAGTATATTTAGTTTAACAAGTAGAATACGTTACCGATGCTCCTTTAGGTCCTGGCTCTCCTTGATTACCATTTTGACCATTGGCACCTGTCGTTCCCTTGGGTCCAATTGGACCAGTTGTTCCTGTTTCGCCGGCGTAACCCAAAGGGCCTGTTGAGCCGGCACGTCCAGGAGCTCCTTTGGGTCCTCTAGGTCCAGATGGTCCCGCTGGGCCAGCTTGTCCAGGGTTACCCTAATGAATGAGTTAATGAGTGAGTGATCGTCCGAGACATGTATTTAAATAGGAAGGAGGGAAGAAGAGCGAGGGAAAGGAAGAGAGGGAAGGGAAGGTGGTAAGAATAAAGGGCAAAAAAGGAAAGGAAAGTATAGGAAACATGGTGGAGAGGTAATAATGGAAAATAGAGAAAGACAAGTGTGAAGGTTTTGCTAAAACTTTAGTGAGCGAGTGAGTGAGTAAAACATTTGCATAGACTCCCCACAATAACTCGTTTAGGGAGGGAGAAGGAGGGACAAGAAAGCAATAGGAACAAAGACAATGTTTGTCATTTGGTGGAAAATAACACGGATATTCAATACCTGAGATCCAAAAAGTCCTGCATTACCTCTTCCTCCTTGAAAACCCTAAATGCAAACAAACCAACATGATGTTGATAGGATATCCAAATGGGAAGGAGATTACGTCACCACTAAAAAGCTACTTACCACTGGTCCTGGATCTCCAATAGGTCCTGGAACCCCGCGCATTCCACGCTCACCCTAGAAAAGAACATTTTGAGGAAATATTATTATTATTTTATGGGAGGCATGGGTGGCCTAGCGGTGAGAGCACTCGCCTCTCACCAATACGATCTCCTCGGACTCGTCGTTTCGTAAGTAGAGTTGTTTGTTGGTTCTCTCCTGTGCTTCGAGAGTTTTCCTCCCTCCGCAAAAATCAACTTCAAAATACTAATCTGATCTATAAGCATATGCATATCAAACATGCGCGTTACAAATATCAAAGTATAGCATTTATAATTCAAAACTACACTTCATATTTCTTGCATAAGAAGAAATGATGGAGTCGATGGAAACTTACATCGACGCCATCTATTCCATTCAGTCCGGTATCTCCAACCGCTCCCTGAAAGGTAATAAGAATATAATTAAAAAGACAACCACAAAGAAAGAAAGAAATAAGACCAACTTCTTTCATAAAGATATCTAATGTTACTATTGATCGTTGATCTCTTTATCGACAAGCACGTGACTCCTGTCTTATGGTATTTACTACCCTAAGTATAAATATGTACCTTCTCTCCATCAACTCCTCGATCTCCTTTAGTTCCAGTGCGTCCTGATCTTCCTTGATGTCCTCTCTTTCCTTCTGATCCAGCTTTGCCTCGATCACCACGAGGTCCCTAAAGTAGTTTTTTTAGACTTAGAATTATTTGTCATTAAGCAGAGGTGGATTAAGGGCCGGGCCCACGGGGCCGCCCTCCCCCCTCCCCGTTTTTTAATTGATGTATTTTCTTCAAACGTAATTGTATTTGCAGAGAAAGATTTTTGCTGAGTAAGATTTTTTTTTTCCATGTACGTCAGAAAATAAAGGCGCATCCAGAATTTTTATTGTTAGGGGTAGGGAGTTATAGGGTCACGAGGCTTTAACTGAGAAGCAAATAAAACGAAGTTTGGCAATTCGGTCCTTTATTTTGTGCTTTTGCCATAGAAAAGAGGTTACATCCTTGGATCCACCTTTAAAGGGACCACAACTATCTAACCACACTAAGAATAAAATGACAGCAATCTACCTTTCGTCCAGGATCACCTGGTGGGCCGTTTCTTCCTGGGCCTCCTGCATCACCCTAAGAAACAAAACGGGTTACAGCAATGACATTCAAATGATCAAACTGAAGAGTCAATAATCGATTTTCTGGTACTAACATCTTCGCCGTTGCGTCCTGGTGGTCCTGGCGGTCCCATCACACCTTGTAAGCCCTGCAATAGGATAAATGAAAAAATTGGTGTATGCTTCCTGGATAATATGGCTATTAATAACGAAAAAGTGAAAAGGAAGGGGCACGCCATATTTAATAGACGACTTGCACAAACAGGTCACATGACCCTGCCTCTCTTAAAACGAGCAGTTGTATGAAAACGAACTTTACAAATGAAAGAAGCAGCTCAACATTAGTTAGAGGTCGAAGTTTCAGCCAATATAAAATAGCACATTTTCCCATACCAATCCTTATAAAATATTTGATTTTATATTTAATGCCATTTCTCCTTTTTCCCTACTAATATTGAGGTGCTCTTTTCATTCCGGATGTTCATTTTGACAAAGCCCTCGTGTTAGTCTAGGTATAATACCTATTCCATAACTTTATTTAGGACACTTACATTTGGTCCACGATCTCCTGGCGTTCCACGAGCTCCTGGGGGCCCAGGGATACCCTGCCAAAAAAATTATGCATAAATATAACTGTATTATCAACTGTATTTGAAGTAATGATTAGATTTAGACGCCATCAAATAATACCTCGAAATGCCAAAATAGATTCGGCCTCGTCTGTAATTTTAGCATAACTTTTAAGCCAAGTATAATCGAAAAGCATGTTGTCCTATTACGTGTAATATGTTATATGACAAGCCGTTCTGGAGAAGAAAAGTTCTAGTGAAACCTCTTTTTCTTGGCTCGGGTTTAATACGTTAGAACTATTAATATTCCACTTTTCAAAGATCTCACAATCAATCGGTATAACCTCTAATAGTCTGCTATTATTGCAGTGGCGGGAATAGGAGTGCGTAGGGCCTTTTGAATCCAAAAACAATAATTAAGCCCAAACACTGTTGGATAAAGGGTGCGTGAAGGACCTGCCTCCACATCCGACACTGTGTTATAGACGAGCCCAAGCAATATTAAGACCTCTACTGTGGTAGAGACCCACTAACGATGTACTTACATCAGGACCTCTTGATCCAGGTCGTCCTGGTGGTCCCGGATCTCCCTTTCAAGACAAAACGAACAAAACGTAAATTATGATGAAATGTTGGTTTTCCAGATTCTCTGTTTTCTCTCCACTCACAAACTAGTAGTCTGTCTGTCAATCTCAATTCCAATGTGATGAGCGCGTTGTTCGTGTAACCTAACCTAACCTAACCAGCGAAAAGGTTGTTTCTAGGTTCGATAAATTTGGGTTTCCATCTCACTATAGAGCTAGTAGAAAATATCTTGTTATTTGTCTTAAAGTAAGGGAGTTTGAGTTTTTCGTACATTACCCAAATCATCCATTCTCGTACCCAGACTCTTCTCACCAAAAAATCGAATGTTTTCCTTCGATTTTTCGCTGAGAAGGCTTTTGGTACGAGAATGACAAATCACCCAAAATGCCTTTCTTCATTTTTACCTAAACAAAAACTTTGATCGTATTATAGGTTTCAGGAAGTATCTAACAACTCGGAAAGGAGTGGAAAGTTCTAAGAAATAGAGGTACTTGACTAATGTCTTTCGACTCATTAGAAACGTTATTTAAATTTCCCTAATTATTTTTTTCAATTAAGTGTTACCCTTGTCAATCCCTTCAGCCTTCTTTCTCTTTTTCCTCTGCCATAGTAATTACCAAGTAATTACCCCTCCCCATCCCAATAGGACATTTGTATTATGACGTCATTAACTGCAACTACCAGAATCCCTTGCACACTTTCTTATGTTCAGTTAATTAGCAGCAATTGTCTTACTATTCTCATGAGGAGATGCAAATTTGAATAAGGAAGAAAATTCGCCAAGCATTTTGGTAGTTGTAGTAAAATGATGCTATCATGCAAACAGCCTATCGAATGATTTTTTTTTTCTCCCTTCTTTTACGGTCTGTTCGTCCCGTTTAACTCGCAACGATGGTCTACTTACAACTCTCTGTAACTCTCCAGCTCCTCCATAGTTAATTTGAGGTACTACAACAGGCCCCTTTGGTCCTGGTATTGTCTATAAGAAAAGGATAGTGTTGATCATATAAAATAGTACAGTACTCCGGTTTTTYCATCAAAAAAATTATACAATACGACAAAGGTGAAGTTTAACAAATTGACATCAGATTTTTATGTGTCTGTCCTCTTATTGACAATAAATTGCGTCATCACATTGTCAAAGTAGTGTGGATTCACGAGGCGTAACCGAGTGGATCCGCATACTACTTTGACAATGTGATGGCGAAATTGATTGTCAATAAGAGGACAGACACATAAAAATCTGATGTCAATTTGTTTTTTACAATAACAAAAACGATAAAAACTTCTCATTTTTAGCGATCAAAACAACCAACGGAAAGAGCGCGCGCTCGTTGACGTCAGATTTATCTGTCTGTCCTCTTATTGATGATAAAAAATAACCAATCAGCGCGCGAGGAATTTGTAAATTATTGTAAAAAAAGTATTTGAACTTACCATGACTTTGGGAGGGCCGGGTGGACCAGGGGGGCCTGGGGGACCATTGGGTCCAGTTGGTCCACTGTCTCCAGGTTCACCTTTATCTCCCTGTGAAATCACAATATCAACGACTAAAGCAAATGATGAGGTAACACAAGATTGAATATGTATGTGTGTATGAGGCGTAGCGGAGTGCTTTTAGACCTGATAAAACACGATCTACGAGTTTTTTGAACATTGTCAAAAACTCATGAACAATTTATAAGATTTTGGTTCAACTGGAGCCACCATACACGTCACGAACATGGACTTTTATACATCGATAGCAAATCGTATGTACCTGTCATGCGCAGTTGAGGTTTATACGTCACTACATGTCATCAGTCATTCCCAATAAAGGCTCCCACATTTTAAAGACAGCATGCTAGTCTCAAGACAGGATTGCTAGTCAATTAGATTTCGTGGGTCGTCGGTGATCGTATGTGAGACAGACCTTGATGAGGCTCTAAGTCTTCATCTAAATTTGGAGAAACCTTTATCTCTGATAAAGTCGTCCTTATTAGTATTCTTTATATACAGCTGTAAAGAATACTAGTGTAGAGTTCTTTATCGGATATAAAGGTCCATGCACGTGACGTGTGTGGTGGCTCCAATTAGACCATAGGCTTATGAATTATTAATGAGTTTTTGAAGCTTACTTATAACCCTACTGCCCCCAAATACAAAACAACAACGAACAAACAAAACTTTAGCCAACCATTCTCAACGTCAATTGAACGACTTTAGGAAATGAAATAAATTAAGGGTGAAATCGTTCAGCAAAGGCTTAAATTGAGCACCTACTATTGAAGTGAAATTTTATGTAAATTTTATGTAAATTTCATGGTCACGTGACCTAAATTTTCCCCGTTTATTGGAACCAACTTGTAAAGAGCCACAATCTGAGAAAGTTTGAAAAAGCTGGTTATACTTTAAGCAGAAACACCAGAGAATTCATCTTTTAATGGTCTGATAGAGAATTGGTGCATAACCCAGGCCTTAACTTGCTGGAGAAGTTATCTACCTACCACTAATCACCAACCCAATACCTACCTATCTACAATACTCTACCTACTAAACCACCAAACCACCCAAATACCAATCGACCTAATCTATCACCTATCACAAACCCAATACCTACCCATCTAAAATG